AATGTTTCTTTTCTATATCTTACTTTGAAAATTAGCCAGATAATTTTTCTAATAATCATTCAGCCTGCACCATAGAATAGCATAGTATTAATTTAATAATCTAACTCCATCAGTTTATCTCAATAAAGAAATTATTCTGTGGCTGGCTTTTTGCTAGGCACTCTAACTGTTGTTGCAACTAAGGTTATATCCATGTCCACAAGGAGCTCACAATCTAATAAGAAAGAGATAAACTTGAAAATATACTAAAAACTTCTGGCAAAATATATAACCCCATGAAAGAATTCAACATTTGGTTTCAAATTAATTATGTAGTGAAACTTTGAAGCTAAAACACAGATTCTTCTAAAATAGTATGTCAATATAACACTGTAGTGTAAATGAAAATTGTGTCATTTGTTTAAAAGTAAAGAAGGAGGGACATATTAAAGGGAATATAATCTTGAAATGATCAACAACAATATATCCTTGATTTAAATAAATCTACACTGTTTTTAGTTAAAGACAAAAATATGTATTGTATGAAAATGCCAGTTCTTGCCAAGTTTAGAACCTTATATATAAAATAACAGAAATATGTATTCCAAGATCAAATCACAATCATTTTAAGTACACTCAGCTGTAAGAAGGCAAAAAGTAGATTATATTTTTTGCCTATCTTATATTTTTAAATTTTAAAATGCATTTAAATTAATTATATTGATTTTTTTTCATTATTATTGATTTTTTAAAAAATAAATATGTATAGCCATGATTTGTATTATGTAAAAACAACTGACTGGATTACCTTAGGTTTTAGGCAAAGCTATCGATTTCACTGCTATAGCAACTGTAAAATGATAGACCATGTGCTAGTACAATCACTTGTTTAGTGATCAATAGAGTGGTTAGGATACCTACAGAACCAAAAAATTAACTCCATTTAAATTTTTTTCATTTAAAAATCATAAAAATACAGCTTAAGATATAATTATACTTTTAAAAATTCTACAGCTTAACCCCTAAATCCAACCCCTAAAGAATTCTAACAAATGTTAGCTAGGTGTGGCTACTGCCAAGGCATGTCTTATATCTATATTAGCAACATGTCATCATCTATAACTTTTACTCCAATAATCTTACTTTAAATACCTGCCCAAATGTAATAATGGGATGAGAAAAAATATATTTGTTAAAGTAATACAAGTAGTAAATAAAATGTTTTTTAAAGTTCCTCAAAAAATGGAGAATCATTCACTCTAGAAAATATTAATACACTAATTTAAAACATCTGGAGAGAAGTGCTTGTAAATAAAAGGTTTCGAATCAAATGTAAATTTTAGCCAATAAATGGATAGATCCTGCACTTTCATCCTCACAACAGAATGTGGGTTTTTATACCTGATCTCATTTTTATCATCATTACAAAGAAGGAACCCCGTGTCTCCCTGACATCCTCGCGGTTGCCCCGTCCCAGTGACAACACAGACTTAGGCTCTGAAGGGCAGTTTGGTTGAAACCGATGAAACGCATCACTGACTGCAAATGCATTTAGGGCCCTATTTGTGAAAGATTTTACTGTGACATATCTGTTTACCAATACTTTTATTAAAGTATGTAATTAGAGTAAAATATTCTCGATAAACTAAGCAACAAATGCTGAGTACAGATTACTGCTTTTATATTTTCAGAGAGCAAATTCCTAATAGCAACTATTCTTCCCCTTTATCAGGGATCTTTTATTTAGTAGCGATTTTTTTTTCCTGGAATGGAATCAAAAGGGAAAAATCTAGAAAGAATATGTATCTAGATAAAATGAGAAAGGAGGTAGACAGGATCCCTAAGATAAAAAACTCTGGTTTAAAGGCTGCGCGCGCACACACACACATGCACGCGCGCGCGCGCGCGCGCGCGCACACACACACACACACACTCGCGCGCCAAAAAAGAAGAAAACTCTGGTTTTACTGTTGCCAGACACCTCTTATACATTTTAGTGTTATTTAACTAGGTGAAATGGTCATTTAAAAAGCAAGCATTTTTGAGATAGATCCTATACTAATTATTTTATTAACCCATCCTCAGATACTTAGGTCAAAAAATATTGTTGGGGTATTCTTCTCAAGGTTATACAATGACAATAATTTCTTGCATATGATTTAGTAATTCAGCAAGTTTGTTTTGTGTGTTCTGTTTTGTGGCATTATACTTTTAGGAGACAAATAAGTGACTGATGTTTCTAAAACAAAATATGAACATAAGCTACGAAAAGGAATTAATGGAATATTGACACATAAATTCTATAAACATGTTATCAATGGGTATTTTTAATGATTTACATGTCGCTATAACAAGTATTGGACAAAAACATTCATCCCCCTAGTTATTATGACTAATTTACTCAGAATTATCTGTTGTGAGAATCAGTAAATATTCTTCAGCCAAATTTAAAATCAGTTTTGTAAAGTGTGATTCAGTTAAGAGAAATATATGCATTTTGGAAATAAAGGATTCCAGGTAAGTTAGGCTGTATTTCCAGTAACGTATGTATTCACTAGACAAAGTTCACCACTACAAATGGAATGGCTTATGCAGTCATTTATTCATAGGACAGAAATGTGTTTATACAAAGCCCTTAACCTGCTCTACTATTATTTTGCAAAACTGTGAATATCTACCAAACCTAACTTAGAGGGCTGAAAAGATGAAACTAATTAAATATATCTTTGATACATAAATATTTTTAATATTTAAATATATTATTTAAATATATTTTAAATAAATATATTTAAGAGAAAATACAAAACAAATCAAAATTACATATAAGGCTTAGAAAATAAACAGTTTGGCTCACATGTCCTTTCTTACTAAATCCAGAAATATTTTATACTTTACTTACAATAGCATGTTGTAGAAAAGTAAAATCAGAAATTTGTACTCTACTTTAGTGAACAGATATATAAACTGGGTCACACTTAAAACCCTTTCTTTAGATGTATATAAAAGTAAAATAACAACAAGCCTAGAATAAAAGTCTTAGAAGAATGTTTTAAAGTTTAACCCTGACATTCATGTAAGGTAAAAATTCCATTCTTCTGTTCCTCTGACCAGAACTTTTTACCAATCTATACCTAAATAGAATATTGAGTACCAGTGTTTTCATGCAAAGATTCTCTAGCTTATTTTGCCATATTTGAACTTAAAACAAAAAGGACAAAAACTTAAAAAGGACAAAGAGCTTGTCAGATGGTATGAGGAAAAATATTTGCTGAAAAGACAATGAATTTATGATCACTGAATAATCACCTGCTGAAATACTGAATATTGCACACTTTACTAATAAGTACCTATGAAGACTGAAAACCATGGAGATGATGCAAAAAATCCAGTACTAAAAATGTCCATAATTAGATAAAAAAATTCTAAAGAATTTGACCTAGACACTATGAAAAACTATTAAAAGAAATAATTTTTTTAAATTATTATACAAAAAACAAAAAAGAAAGGGGAAGGTAAAGTAGCACGGAACTGGGATGAGAGAAATAATGTGGTCTAAAAATTCCCTAAGTTCCACTAAAGTTAAAAATTCTTTTTGCAATTTTACTTTTCCTCTTAAGGCAGAGGTGTAAAATTATGACTCTCAACACTATCCCAATAATTGTCTCCTGGATTGAACATAAGTCAAATAAAATGAAAGAAAAGCAGTGGGGGACAGAAGACTGAAACTAGATCAAAGGACCATGTAGAGTAAAAACCTACAATGTACAAACTGTTGACAGAAAAATGGGAATATCAGAACAAAAAAACTGATGAGCTCAGTAAATTATTCAATTTTTAATTATCAATAGAGATTGTTTATGATTTTGATTATATAAACATTATAATTACTGATAATCGGGTCTCTCAGTTTTCTCAAACATAAGGTCATATACATGGATACGTAGAAATCAAATCTAAAAAAATGACATGAATAAAGACGATTTTTAATTTTTATCTCGATAATTTTGATGCCCTGTGGTGTTGTGAACTGCTTTGGTGAGGAATCTACTTGGTATGCTGTATCACTACAGGATGGAGGTTATGGTGTTATGCTTGATAGTAAGTTTGGTTTCTCCAAGTTGTCAGGCACTTTAAGAAAATTAGGAACATCCAGGGTAGCAAGGGCTTAGGACAGAAAGACTGGTATTTATAGATTTTTAAAAATCACATTCAAGTATATACATATCATGCATAAGGAAGACGTATGTTAATAAGAAATAGAGAATATGCACACCTTCCTTATCCAGGAAACCTTGAATCTACAGTCACACAAGTTCCTTTATTTGTAAAGATGAATGGTAACTGCCAAAAGTATATACTGTTGGCTCCAGAAATATGGTCATTGCTGTGAATCACAAATAAGACCAGCTGCAGCATGGGTGACTTTGTGAAGGATATAAGGCATTAGAAGTGCACAGTCTGAAATAAAGCTAAGGAGAACAATATTCTAAGGATGCCACAAGCCTAGGATTAGAGGGAAAAAGCAATGGCACTTGTTCATACAAATGCACAGAAGGAATGGCAATACAGATGTTCAGGGAAACTTGAAAAATGAGTAAGGATGTAGGGCCATTGCATAAAATGATGGGAACAAATATGTATTGAATAGATGCACCAAATCATTTGTATATCATAAACTTTTTAAAGTTATTTTTTTGGCAGTTAGGATAACCCTGTAAATGGGTATCATGATTCTGAAAACAATGTTTCACATTAAATACTCTTAATTCTTGAGTCATAATGAATAGCAACCAATATGGGAATTACTTATCCATAAAGAAAATAACATTTTTCTTCTAAATCCAACCTCAGGGAAAATACGTTATGCTTGAGTCATATAAATATGTCATTATTTTTATGAATAAAGCACATTAAAACAATTATGGATATTATATAATCATTAACATAATTTGGGATAATGTGCATTAACTAGAAAACCAACCAACTTGAAATTATGCATTCAGGTTATAGCAAATGCAGTCTCTAATAAAACACTATATAAATCATAATACAAACTGAAGGTAAACTTAATTGGTTTACCATGTAAGATTTAAATTTTTTGAACCTACAGTGTGTCATAGCTTTGCTTCTACAACTTCTATTAGGAGGCAGCATGGCAGTGAGCACCCTATGGGTTCTTTCTGCTTTTAGATAAACCTGAGCTTTATCTAAAACTCTGTTTGAATTCCACCACATATTACTTTTTAACTTTGGTAATTTGCTAAATTTCCTTGCATGTCTATTTTTGGTTTTGTTTCAGACATATATTATATTGGTCCAATATCAACTTCTACCTATAATTTGACTTGAATAAAAGGTATTATGTAAGCAAGATGCATAATACATAAATATTAATTCCCTTCCCTCTTTTCATTCTTTCTCCCAATTAAATTGAACCTCACAGTCATATTTTTATTTTTTTATTAAAAGTCTGAAATATTATACAAATGAGAGGTGTTATTTTAGAAAAGGTATTTTTTGGATGAAAAATAATTCCCAATTATGATTCAGGGTAACTCTACATTATATAACATCAACTTATACAAAGAGTAGACCAAAAGAAAACTCCAAAATTTATTCATAAAAATTGTGTATTTATTCTTACATGTTTAAACTTCAGTCACTTTCAAAGTACTCTCCATTTGATGCAATACACCTATCAAGATTATTTTTTCTACTGCTCAAAATGGTTTTTTGAACTTGTTGATTTTTATGCCTTTTAGTGTTTCCGCCATTTCTTTTATTTCACCTCTTCCATATCTGCAAAACGTTTCCATTTAAGGACTCTTTTCTCTGGGGAAACCAAAAAAAAGTCGCTCTCAGAAAGGTCAGGTAAATAAGGAGGGTGGAACTTAGGTGTCACACTGTTTGTGGTCAAAATCCGCTGAAGACTCAGTGCAGTGTGGACAGGTGCTCTTGTAAATCAGCCATTACATAGTGGGCAAACATGTTGCATCTTCAAAAAAATTTACTCAAGCGTAACACAGCCTCTCACAACAACATCATCTGGTAGATACACTGCTCCAGATGGGTTCCTAGAACACTTACCTAGCGGGGGAAGCCTGTACTAAAAGAGGCCCACCCTCCCAAAGATAATTATGTTTTTTGGGATCCCCCTTCGTACATCTCATGGTCTTTTCTTTTTGTTTGCTCAATATTCATGTGCAGCCAGAGGATGAGTAAAAACTACCTAGTTTTCTAAAGTCACATTCATATGTATCAAATCTAGTGATTTTATTTATTTCCTAGTGTCTGGGGAAGGGAGTAGAGATAAAGTGGTTGGAACTTGGTACTAAGGAAGTGAAAGTTATGAGCCATGTGAAGTTATATTGAGACAACATCACGTCTTCCAACATGAGGTACATAAGAACCTGACCCACTGCCTCTTAAATTTGTGCTGATTGGACCTAAAAAGGATCAGGAAAGAGGATGGGGATAACACAGGACAAGTCTACACCCAATATTCTATTCATAAATTAGTAAAGGTATATTTAAGGTTAAATGGTAAAAATATGGTGTGCTCAGTTATCACAAATGGAAAAATAAAGTAGCCATTGTTTGTGAATTATGTTGTACCCTGGTTTACAATAACCTTCCTTCCGTACAATTCCATAATGGGGGAATGGGACTTAAGAGTGTTCATAAGGTTCTATAATTTTGCTTCATGATATCTTAAACATCTAAAACCTATTGATTCTTAGGGGAAGAAATATATTCTGCACTAATACTTGCAGACACAGAAGCCAGCTATATTTCTTTCTCCTTTACATGACTACATAATAATGTTGTAGGTTGATATTCTTTGAAAGATTCTGTTAAAAAAGTTAATATTGGATATTTCAACAAGTTCAACATAGTGGGAAGAGTGAGCCAGTAGAAAAATTTATTTTACCATGGAACAGTTCTGAGTCCTGTATGTGACTTTATGTCACTGTTTCAAGAATGTTCTGATTGACTTTTCAATATTCACAGATGGGAATCTGTGTGTGTGCATATTTGTAACTTTGTGCATTGTTACGACCAGGCACAACTGTATACATCATATCATGTGCTTTTGCACAATTTCCCTCTCCTTTCTATTTTTAACAGTTTGTTATAATCAGTGTTAGAAATGAAAAGAAAATAGCCAAGGAAAATTGGAAATATTTTTTTACAAGACATTTATTGATATGTAAATAAACCTCCTTCTGTGGAGAAAGCCACTGGAATGCACCCATCACCATGTCTCTACCAGCAGGTAATAAAAAGAGCTATAGCCTAAGACCTAAAACCCTACGATCATTATTTTGCTGTTTATTCCCCTCCCCTGAGGTCTGATATCTATATTAATTTAAATGGTCATCTTCAGAGAATTTAAGACACTTTTGGAAATATTTAAGACTGGAGAGCTATTAATTTGTGGTGTTGCATTTCTTATGACAAATCAGAGTTACATATAAAAATAGCTCAGTCAAGAGTCAAGATTAGGTAAAATTAAATTTAAAAAATCAGCTGTACACTGCCACATTTCTCTGATTAATTTACCTATGGTATTGGCACATATTGTTTTGCTTAATATTTGAAAAATATAAATAACTCTTTCATATGCAAAATGTGAATGTTAAATGAAATACAGAATTTTATATAACTGCTTAAATAGTGAATAAGTTTTACAAAGCAAATCCTTAACGTTAAATATCACAAAAGCTTGGTATCCAGATACAATGTTGTAAGAAATAAGAAGAGCACCTGCCTCTATTGCAATAAAAAAGAAAGAAAAACAGCAAATTCCTTTTGCTATCTTAAGAGTGACAACATTTCAATAATCAAGCACTGAATGCTTTTTATTAATCATGATCTTAAACTTCAGATCTGTAGATGTATTTTAATATTTATAACTTTAGTCTCACTGCAAAAATTCTTTCTTGTTTAAAAGCAGAACTATCATATGCCACTGCATTCAGAAGTGACTCAGATTCCCAGATGTTTTCACATAGTTATGAAAATGAGAAACTGCTATATTAACCTGGACTGCAGCACTGCAAGCTACTTGCTATTGTGTTATATATGATCCCTACACTTCCACCAAGTCACACACAGACTCAAACCTAGAAGTTTTTTCTTTTTTTTCTTTTTAACAGTCTCCTGGTTTTGTTACATTCAAAGGCAGTAGGAAGTCAATCGGTAGTGGGCAGAATTTTCGAGTGCTGCCATTCCTATAATGAGGCATTTTCAGTGGCTAAGTAAAAACCTGTTTGTGATTTTTGGTTTTTTGCGTTTGCATTTTGGGGAAGAGAGGGGAATGAGAGACTTCGGAGGGTCCATTATAAGCATCCCCCCAGTCTTAGCTTTACTCAGATGGCTTACTCATTACAGTCAGCCTCTGATCATTCCTATGTGTTGGGAAAAACTACAGTTAGGCTTATCTGTAAGCCTGTCTACCAGGTTTCTAGTTGATTCCACTTGATGTCTCAGTATGTAAATAAATCTGATGAGTTCTGGTTAAAATTAATTCCAGGTTATTACTTTCTGGATTACTAACAAAAATCCCTTCTAAAATCAATGGACATAGCTTATTGCTTAGAGTAATTTAAGCTTTTAATATAATTTATATATTAGGTAAAAATTCTCAAAATTATTTGAGGATTCTATTCTCTAGCACCAGGCACTAATGGCCCCTCAAAGACATCATGTGCATGGATTAATCAAATCCAACAATGCTCAGAAATAATGGTTTAAAATGGAATATTTTTAAATTTTATTTTGTGCATGCAAATGCTTTTCTTTTTTTCAATAGCTAGTTGTACTTTCAAAATAAGAGCACCTCATTTTCACCCATGTTCTTATCTTTAAGATCCGCGTTGCACAGTAGTATGCAGGTATAATACACTTCACTTCTTGTTTCTCCATGATATTCCTTTTGAATGTATTTGTGTTTTGTTCTCCAGATACTGCAAGTGGAAACTCATTTTCCTTTAATTCCATTTCACACTTTAAAATCAAATAAAATGAAATGTGGAGAGGGTATTCTTACAGGATTAAACGTACTCCTAATTACTTAAACCATGGGTTCGGAATTCAAATCTCTATGATCAAGGATGTAAGTCCCTGGAAGAGTTTAAAATTATTTTAATCACCACAACCAGAGTAATGTATGGAAATAAAGCCCTTGCATTGATTCTTTAAATGCATAATCTCAAATATAACTGCCTAAATAAATTTTAAAAAGTGAACACCTGAGGAAAGTTTCATCTCCATTGTTAATTATGGAGTATTATTTCAACTAAAATCATTTCCAATATTTTGGAAAAAATACTCCTAAAAAGTCATAAACACTGAAATCAGAGATGTGATTCTTGCTATATATTAGTTTCTCTTTCTGAGGGATTACTCCCTGTTCTTGTACTTTTGACATTAACATCATGTTTGTTAGACTTGTTCAAGGGTTCAGATTCTTTGGACACAGGCTCATGCATTTTCTTCTTTGCATTTTCCAAATTCTTTTCCTTTGCAAGCAGTCTATAGTTTATAGCATTGCCAATGAGCAGCCACACACTTGATAAGAACACAATAGCTCCACAGGCAATATACATGTATTTATATTCTCCAGTTTTATCCACCAATATACCTAAGAGACAAAAAACATCTTTTAGGATAAAATAATAAAAGAGCCATGAATAATAAAATTTTTAAATAAATTCTTCTGCAATATAGTATGCACTTATTTCTTAAGTTAATATTACATGAGTTTTAATAAAAAAGTATCCCAGATTATACTTTTATATGTGTAAGTAAAGGCACATATGGGCACATGCAGTATTATATTACCAATATATTAAAGTTATTGAACATTATTTCCCTTAATAAAATTTCACAATTAAGGCAAAGTAAGTATATATGCTTTTGGGTGCAATTTCATACATACATACAGGTGTAAAGTAAGTTTTTTATATCTACACATGCAGAAATAGATATATTTATCTACTTATTTACAGCATGCCCATTGAGATTGCTTCATTCCTCTCCATGCTTCCTATCTTTTCAATAAAGAGGGAAACATTACATTCTTTAGGAAAGATCTAAAGGCTTTTATAAAGTTGATAACAGCATGTAATGTTTACTAAATTCTTTTTCTATGCCTAGCACAAGGCTAAACATTTTTATTTGCAATATCTCATTTAATCCTATGAGATCTCTCTGAAGAAATTTGACCATGGTTATGCAGCCAGGGAGGGGCAGAATCTGGTTAGTCAAGTTCTGTGTGAACCTCATATTGGTAACTGTTCTGTAAAATGGCTTCACCAAAACTTTTGGTTAAGTGTTATGTCACTTCTGTGGCTAATCACAATTTTTTAAATCTGAATCTAAATGATTAAAACACTAATCAGAAAGAAAACATTTATTCCATTTGATTTTTAAAAACATTTAAATACTGGCCTAGTGCCCTACAATCTGAAGGTATATTAACTTGTAAAAATGTTTCAGTTCATAGTTTTGCTTCTTCCTTTTGCAGGAACTTAATTCTTAACAGTAATTATCACCAAAATTGAGTGTACATAAATTCATGTTGTTTATTATATGCTAATCCTTGGTGATTCTGATATAGACCTACTTGTTTAGTCAGAATCTCTATCATTCTAACTAAAATATAGTCAGTAGCTAATATTAAATTTAGCTGTTTGTAAAATTATCTATGTGAACAAGTTTCTTTGTTTTAATTAGGTAAATAATGAAATAGGTTTATTTGAATAAATATGACACATACAAGCATAAGAAAAATAGCATAATTTTCCATTCTAAATTTAAGTCAAATATTTCTATTCACATAATGATTGTAAGACTTCAAAATACATAAAAATTAGCTCTATGGCTCTATCAGAGTTAATAGCATTTTGGGCTACCATCGCTACATACTTTCTAAATGTTTTGGAAATTTTTTATCCTCGCCAAAGAGAAATATATGATTTCCAGAACTAAAGTTTCAGTTCTTTGTGAGCACAGCAGTGAAAGGTTGGGCTGAAAAAAATTAAAATCATGCTCACCCTACCCTTTACTGCTCTACTAACAAGAGTAGCAGAAACAGCAGCAACGGTGTGAGAAGTAACTACAGTAATTCATTCAAAAGCATTCCCGGAGTGCCTACCATGTGCCAGACTCAATTTGCGGGGTGTCAGGGGCAGCAGGAGGCAGAAACAGGGTAAAAATGGAAGTACTGTCGCTAGAGGATGGGCGCTTGAAGAAGGCTCACAAATCAACTCTGTCATGCCACCACTAGTACAATGGTTTGGCAATATTAATACAATAATAAAAAAGTGACATTTTTATGAGATATTTTTAAAAGCATAAAACAACTGATGTGGGTAAAAAGGTGAAATCTATGCTAATTATCAGTTTAACTTAAATTCTTAAGTTCATATGTTCAAATTCTGAAACAAGTCTAGATCTAAATTCAACTAATTACAAAGTTTAAAAACACATAATAAAGCCTAAAATTAACACAACTACAATCTTTCAGGCTATTAGTATTTTTTTCTTACAAGGCACATTATATACTATAAAGAAAGTCTCAGTTAATGACTATTGATTTTATGCTTTTTGTTTTCCTTGATGGGAAATATTCTTACCAGCAAGAGGAGGCCCAAGAAGAACTGGGCAACACTCAACAATTGTGACGAGTCCCACGGCACTGGAAAATCTTTGAGCACCAACAAGGTCCATGAGACTTTCAAAGAGGACACTGCTAACACTTCCAAATCCAAGGCCAAAAAATACAGCATAAAGCACCAGGCTTGTGTAGTCCTCTGCCAATGGGCACAAGAGATGACACACTCCGTTGAACATAATTGCAAAACTGAAGAAGTACTGGATTCGAGGTCGAATAAGTTTGGAGTTTGCAATAAATCCTACGGAAGGCCTCGCAAACATATCAACAAAAGCCATGATAGACAACAAGAAGGCTGCAGAATACTCATCAATTCCCTTATCTTTAGCATATGGAGCCAAAAATATAACAGGGGCAAAAAATCCTAGGAACATAATGACATTTCCAGATAGGTATATCAAAAATCCCCTATGCTTGAAGAGGGAGAAATCAAAATATTTATCAATATTTTTCCATACTGATTTCTTCTGATGGCTTTTCTTCACATTTGACTCATATTCTGTTGTCCCGCTCCTATTTTTAGAGTTAGCAGGTTGTTTGGGTCCAATGGGTCTCATGAGGGACCCAGCGACACAGGCATTCAACAACATACCTCCCAAAATCATGAAACTTCCTTTCCAACCAAAAGTATTAAAAAGGAACTGATTGAAAGGAGCTAATGTACTTAAGAAAACAGGACTTCCTGTCATGGCGAGTCCATTTGCCAGGGGCCGTCTTTTATAGAAGTATTTGCCAATGATTGTTAAGGCAGGTTGAAGGTTGAAGGCTAGACCTAAACCTGCAAAGAACAAAACAAAAGGAAGAAAAAACACAAACGCATTATGCCACCCACAAAAGAAATGACTCTTCAAAATGTACATTCAGGGGTAAGGCAGAACTCAAAATGCAACAACATGTAGCAATTTTTGTTACTTATAAAATCAATAGAATGGCACATAAAAATGTTATCATAATTGGACACTTGATATGTACAACAGTTTCATATTCCTTTCACTTTAAACCACAAAAGTAAAACCAAAAACTTTACTGAATTTTAACTAATCATAGAATAATTGAAACTAAGTCAAAAATATTAGTTCTTATAATTACAGTCACTCACTCAATTCCACAAGTTTTCATCTCTTTTTATATTGATATACATATACATGGGATAGATCTTTTTTTTCTTTGTGGAAAAGACTGCATTTAAAACATGAATGCTTTCTTTTCAGAGTTGAACAGACTAAAAATTGTGTCACTTACAATCTTAGCTTTCCCCAAAGATATATCTTCAAAACCATGCAAACAATAAAAATAATAATAAATTAATGCCATTAGTTTCATGTTCTACATCCCTTACATTATATGTCTTATGAATATAGATGCACATGTGTTAGTTAAAAAATAAATATTTGGGCTTGAAACATATTCCTATTTCAGGGAGTAAAGGTTATTGTTTATATAAGTCAAAAGCTCCTGCTGTCTAGGGAACTCCTTGGCAGTGCTAAATATTGCCTTTGAAAATGAAATATTTCTTATAGTTTGCCAAGGTACTATTTAGCAATAGTAATGAATGTCTGTTTTAAAAATACATAAAATTGATTTGTATAAATTACCTCTCTTTCATCGTTAGCCTAGGTATTACTCCATATTATTTTAAGGGCTATAGAAGAATTCTCCATTTATCAGTTTATGTAAATTGAGACAGTACTGCAAAGTGGTTCAGTATTTAGATTCTGGGATGCTCAGTTATGAGTACAAATAAATATTGCAAACATTTAATACAAATTATTTTTAAAAATATTTTATTTTATTTTTTAGAGAGAGAGAAAATGGGAGAGAAAGAGGAGAGATATACTGATGTGTGAAAGAAACATCAATTAGTTGCCTCTTGCATGTGCCCCAACCAGAGACCGGGTTCGAAACCCAGGCATGAATCCTGACCGGTAATCGAACTGGAGACATTTTGCTTTTTGGGACGAAACTCAACCAACTGAGCCATGCTGGTCAGGGCAATATTTTTTATGAGTAGGAAGGTCCCTTAAAGCTGACTGGAAGAAACCAAGAATATGCTCTGGACATCAACAGGGCAGTGTGCTCTCTGATTCTACATCTGTCATACCTGTTAGATACGTATAATAAGTGTAATTACACCTAACGTACAAATAATAAAATGAGCCAGGCTATGGTCAGCAGATTGTAAGGAGAAGAACAAAAATTAAAAATCCAGAAATTGTTTTGAATTGTGCTTTGAAAGTGTGTTCTAAGTTTCTTTTTCATATGCCGTCTCCTTCCAACAACTCCATTCTGTCACCTGGAATTTTGTCTTTAGATGTTAATGAAAGGTCTCCTTGGGAGAGAGTCGATATCTACTTATTCTGGCATGGCAAAACAAACATGAGATTTGAAATTTAAAAAAAAATCTAAATCTGCCTCAACTACTTACCTATGTGTACTGCTTGGGAAAACATTTTGACTTCTTAAGCTTTAATTCCCTTGACAACAAAATTAAGAATTTGTCAAAATCACCTAAGTTCTAGAACTGTAAGGCAGTATATAATGACATTATGATTATTATTATTTGGTAATGTTTTTGAAAAGTAACACAATGTTGGACGCTCTGCAAAGTATTATATGTTAATCTTTTCATTTAATCATTCCAAGAACTCCCAAAGAATAGAGATATCATGTTCCCAATTTTAAAGACAAAGAAAATGAGGTATAAGGAAGTTAATTTACCCATGATCACACAGCTATTATGTGCTGAATCAGGTTTATAAAAAGACCTGTCTGATTTCAGATACCAAAATCTATTGGCTGATAATGACTTAAGATAAATTTCTTATAGGTGTATTTAATGGTTGACTCTAGAAGCACCAAAGGCTTCGTGACCTACAAGAATAGAAGTGAAGTTAGAATGATATTCAGGGTTGGGATAGGTTTATAATCATTTGTATGGAAAATATTTTAATTTTTAATAAAAAATAATACAATAATAAACTTTTACATGCTCATAACTGTAAATCTACTTTTGCCCCATCTGGTGTAATGCTGTTGATATTTGTAAGACAGTAATGCCAAAACCATCTTTTTCCTAATATACCTATTTGAGGGCTCAGCTTTATTTCCATGGTCAAACGTAGTATCTAGTATTCCAGCACAAAGGAAAGGGCATTCTCTCCACTGTGACAATTTGTAGATATAGTAAGATTCTCATTTACAGAAAGTGTTTTAACATATCAAAAAAAAAGAGAGTTGTCAATAGGTAGTAAAGAGAAAGATTTTACCACCAATATGTTGTAGGCTTTTTTTTTATCACATGATATATAAATGAAAGGTTAGACTGATCAAAAATCACTATAAAAGGAGAATATATTTATCTTTGTGGGGCTTAGAAAAAAGATTTCATTTCTTTATATATTGAAGTCTGATTTTTCTTAAAACTGAGTATAGATTTTCTTGATTCACTTTATTATTGAGGTTAATAAAAATAGTGTTTTCTAAATGTACATATTCAGGTCAGTTTGAGTCCAGAGATATTATACATGAGAAACAATTATAATCAAATGATAGTATATCATTCGAAAATATTCGTGTTTAGTGGCAAATAGACCTCATAGGGCTTTTAAACAGAACCCTTTAGTAAGGAAAAGAGGGATATAAATATCGAGCTCTATGTAAACAGAGCACAGAAACCAATAATTCTATTTTTAAAGCTTAGTGCATCCAGAAAATATTCTTCTGGCACCATTTTTAACCTATTATACATGATACATGAGATTATCTAAATAGTATAAGTAATGAAAAATACATTTTTTAAAAAATGAAGCTATTTATATGCCAGAAAGCCTCTGTCCATTATCTTAATTGGTTGAAAAGTAGAGGGTAAAACAGTAAAAACAGGTCAAAGCTGTATTGTTTTTGACATTTATATTATAGCACATTACGTATCTGATAAATCCTTTTTTTTCCATTACTTAAAATGATTTTGGTTGGACATTCCATAGCTAGTATTTCTATGTACTAGATAAAAATAATTTAAGATTGCATCTGATATAAAAATAAATTTCAAGGAAAAGAATAAGAATATTCTGTTGTTCGTGCTTTTTTAGAGGGCTTTCTAAGCAACATGAACGTTAAAATAATAAGCTGAAAACAAAACTTACCTCCAAGGAATCCGACAGTGAGGTAGAGCTCTATTACACTAGAACTAAAGGAGGCTGCGACCATTCCCACACAGCATAACAAACCGCCCATCATCACCACGGGCCTGCTACCATATTTATTTACCAAAATACTGCTTAAGGGACCTGAGTAGAGATGAAAGTAAGAAATATTCAGTTACCGGGTCATTTATTTTTAACATTCTTAATTTTGAAAGCTGAGAAAGCACATTTTAATGATCAAAGAAAAATAGTAGTTCACATGGAATATAAGGAAGATTTTTCAACTCTTTCCAACTAGTTTGACTGGTTATCTTTAACTAGACATATGAAAGTGCATAAAGTAATACATTAGAACTGTTTCATATATAGTTTATGACCATAATCACTCAAATTTCGATGGAAAAATTTTAAACAAGACATAGCTAAACTGTCTAAATATCTTAATAAGTGCAGGTAAATTTATGTAACAAAAATCTAGGCGTTATCTAAATGACTTGTGTGTGTTAGAATTTTATTTGTTAGCATACTGTGTACACACATACACATTGTTAAAGTTCAAAATTTTTATTAGACTTCCCTTTGATTTTTCTTTAATACCATATTTCTTTGGTTCTAAGACACTGATTGTTTCCATACCCTATTATACTCTCAACATTAGAAATAAGGGTGTCTTACGCTGATCGCTTAACAATTCGTTTTCATCAGGGTGCGGTCACAGGCCTATGAATGCTTGAACTGGATTGTTATTTCTGTGGTTTGGTTGGACCATGGCAATAACTCACATTTCAATCAAACCATTTAAGGACAATTTAAAAAGGAATATGCAATCTTCATTGTTTGAAAAATCTTCTGTTGATACATTCTGGTAGGGTCACGAAAGTACCAGCAGCAAATGTACAGAATGGATGCAGTGGTGTAGGTGGAATTACTAGAGAAAATGGTGGCTCTCTTAATTAAAATATGCTTTCTCAAGGGTGAAGAGAACAATTTCCTGTGTGAAACATGAACATCGGGGACTCAAAAACTAATTTCGAAGAGACAGATACTGACTGGAAAGAAGGTTTTGAAATGCCTTACTCAATCTATTTAATGTACATTTTCTAAATATATGTGTGTATGCATAAAATATTCAGGAGTAATTAAAATGATTAAAATAATCTGTTTAAGTATGTCTAAAAAGCTTTTTTGGTAATTATAAAATTAAAGTTATAAATATTAATAAAGTGTTGCATCTTATTTTAATGTACAGCATTTTTTTTTCTTTAATGGTGCTTTATAAAATAGTGGTACAACTTACCAACTGAAGCTTAGAATCAATGAAAAGTCCATGCTATTTTATGAAACCTGTTGAAGTGTAAATGATTTGATTTGACATTCCCTTTTTAACTTGAAATACTCCGTCTGAAACTTGGGACACTATTTTTCTTAAAATGACTTAACTAAATTTAATTCAATTTAACTCAAATCAGTTTAATGCAGCATTTCTTGAGCTCCTAGTATAAAACCAGTTGACACATGCCAAAGATAAAATAATACAAAATAATTACCAATTACTTGGATTAATAACAATGATCTTTTCTCAGTATCACTGATATTACCTATAGTATTTTCTATGTGGTGCCTCAATAATTAACAAGTTATCTGATTACAACATTTTATAACTGTTTGCCAAAAATGTATAAATTTAAATTGGAACATAGGCTATGATTCACAACTAAATTTGCAATGAATATGAAATAATTATATATAAGCATACACACACATACACATATAGATAAAACACATCAAGGCTCTTTTTTATCACTGTGATTAATTAAGGGTAGTGACTAAAGCATTCAGAGGTGTTGGCATTTGTTTTTTTGTTTGTTTTATTCTGTTTTGAGGTAGCTTGGATAATTTCTACATAGGGATTAGTCAAAATGCAGTAAGAGTTATAATTTTAACAAATTATTTTATTTTAAGTTACATATTTTAGTTAAATAATATCCTCTATGGGACATATTTACATTTCATCTATAATCTTTTTTCTGGGAAAAAAAGAGATGCTTTATAAGGGATGATTTAGAAGTAATCAAAGCCCCTTATTCCTTAATATCAAATACTTATAAAATATGCTTACTTGCTAATAGTTTTGGGTTAAAATTTAAATTGTGATATAAAATAAAATATAGTAATTTTGTAAAAAGTTACTAAATGCTTAATATGAGCTTGAGGAGGCATCTAACACAGACTTAAAACAACATCATCCATTACCTCTCTCCATCCCACAAGCAACTTAGTTTATTATTATTAACAAGAAAGATAAAATTTAAAAAAATCTCATCACAAATGATTTTTATTAAACATAAGCTAGCTTCCCAGGTGTTCCTTTTGATGAAGCACAGGTCTAATTGTATTCTGAGCTCATTCATTCATTTATTTATTCATTCAATCATTCTGGAAGTTTGTTCTCAGCAAGTGTTTTCTGAGTAATCATAATATTTAATCATGAGTTATGTCAAAAAAGAAAATTCTGTACCTGCTTATAGTTATATCTGAATCTATAAGTACAGCAGTTATTCATCAAGTTATCAAGTAGTTATAAAAAATATCATGCAAGAATAATAATGGCTTATTTCCCAAAAAATTTGCAAAAATATTATGCAATACCTAACTCAGACTTTCTACCCATTAATTTCTTCAGATCCTGCTTTCCAACCTTAGAATTTTTAGTGTCAAGTATAATGGCATATTCATGCTAACTATGAAGCTGCACAGGAGAGTTTTCTCAGAGAGCAGGGTCAGAATCTCAATACTGGCAACCATATTTCAGCTACTTCTTTGTTTTCTGAAAGCTACCTCTCTCAACTACTCTGTCTTTTATGGTTGTGGCTCTATAACGCTTAGCAAAAGAATATTTACTCAGGCTAGGAAGAACTTTTTGCAAGTTCTTGTATATTGCAGAGTTACCCACTCTCAGAACTCTTAGAGTCGGTAACACATATGCACACAACACACACAAAACATTCACCCTCCATTTCATTTGTTTGAATAGTATTTATCCATTCTATTCTAAGCCCTGTGAAGACAGCTGCCAAACATACTATTATTATTCATCAATATGTATTGTTATTACTCTTTGCAGTCAGTGTGCTAAGAATTGTATGTGCATTATTGCATATGATTTTTGTGGCAATCTGATGATATAACTGCCTAATTAGAGTTATGTAACAGTTGATAAAACTGAGGTGTGCAAAGTATTTTGATAACTTGTTCAAGATCACTTCAGTATATGTAGCAGAATATGGACATGAGCCCAGGGTCATCTGATTTTAAAACTGTGCTATTAATTACTATGTAGAAAAGAGGCAACAATAGCAGGGCTAAAACACCATCCTTACTAAGGCCTGATTGCAAGGTTGGCTTCTGGCTGGCATCTGGGAACTTGGATTTCAGAAGTATTCCCATCATCCTCCAACTGATAAGACTGGCTCAGTGTGCCTAAACTGTTTTATAAACAAAGTGTTTTATGCTGTATGTCTGCTTTCATTCTGGGAGTCTGGAATTTGGGTGTATGCCAGACAGAGAATGTCTATGTAACCAGTAATCCGACAGAAACTTGAAGCACTGAGTCTCTAATGAGCTTCCTTGTTAGACAACACTTCACACATGTCAAAATTAGTTGTTGAAGGAATTAAGCTCATTCTTTGTGATTCCCTTAAGTGAAGACCCTTGGAAGTTTACAACTGGTTTCCTCTAGACAGTGAATCATCAAACCTGGTGTAATCTTGGGGACTGTGAAAATAACTACTGTATTATATCCTACTGCTAATTTTAAGTTTGGTATATAGTACTTGTAAACAGATATTAATATATTTTTATTTTTTTCATTTATTGATGTTAGAGAGAGGGGAAGGAAGGAAAAAAAGGAGAGAAACATAGATGTGAGGGAGAAACATCAACAGTTGCCTCCTGCACCCACTCTGACTGGGGACCAAATACGCAATCCAGACATGTGCCCTGACCAGGAATGGAACTGGTGGCCTTTCAGTTTGTCGGAAGACACCCAATTGGGTCACGCCAGCAAAGGATTTGTTAATATTTTTAAAAAGATTGACATATGTATGTATGTATGTATGTATGTATGCAGACTGTTCTATTGTTTTGTATATTGTTATTCTGTTCAGTAGACACAAACTCATAGTGTTTGTTTTTATTTCTTTTGTATATTGCATGAGTACATAATAAATGCTGTGAGCAAATTTGGAGAGTATGTTATGCAATGAACATTTCATAAAATATATTTGATCAAACTAAAACCATGAATTGAAATTGACTATCAATTTTAGCTATATAAAATTTTTATGCATAGTATAAACACTAACAGAAGAAATGATAAACTGCTATAATTTATTTTTCATTTGCTTTATTTCCAATTTGTATATGTAGTATCCTGTCAAATCAAATGATAAAAAGCACTAATGCAGAACTGAGAGAAAGTTGCTTGCAATTTCAGAAATTTATCTGTGTTTACTACCATAGTATTTTTCTTACTAACAGAGACTTTCTAAATTTGAAATATATTTCAAAGAGATTGTTTTGGATTAAAAATCTGTTGCTCTTTTAAGTTGAGCAGACTATAGGCTCCTCTTCATTAACTGCTTGCTTGCCTGAGGTCTATCTGTGCACTGAAGTTGTGGTTGAAATCCACCTGGTTTCTCTCTCCCTGTGATTTCCTTCCATTTAAATTTAGCAAAAAACATGAGGGGAGAGACCCTGATAATTTGACAGCAATTACTACATTTGCTTTTTGAATGGATGAAGACATAAATGTTACCCAGGTAAATCATCAGTTAGCACATTGCTCGATGATAAGCTAATTCCAGCTCCTCAAAAGATAAATCTTTATGTCAGCTGAAGATCTCATAATGCTTTCACTCAGCATTTATACAGTATTTTAAGTATATAAATGTTTTGACTAAGTGTTTTGAGTAGCTGCAGAAATCAAGAAAGGGACTGATTTATATGGTAGGTGTACTTGGTGCATAGCAGGGACAGAGGGCGACAGGGTCCACAAACTCATATTTGCATTTGCTGTTCCTTCTGTTGAGAATGTTTTCCTCTTAATTTGTAAGTAGTTTATTTTGCACATACTCAGGTGTCTG